CTGACACGTATTGAAACCTGTTTGACAAATATGAGTTGAACCATTTGATGGAATTAGTACTAAGACCGCAGGCTTTAAGTTTACCCAAAAGTAGATTATGATTCACCATATCAAATGCTTTTTTAAAATCTCCAAACAGCAAGCCACTAGGATTGTCATTATCAAGATCAGATAATATCTGATCAACAATTTTAATAAGAGCCGTTTCAGTAGAATAGCCGTTCCTAAAGCCAGATTGCAGAACATAAAACATGTCGTTGGATTGAAATTCGCGAACCAAACAATTATAGACATGACGTTCAAGAACTTTGGAAATTATCGGTAGCGTAGAAATAGGTCGATAATTATCTGGATCTGTGGCATTTCCATTTTTAAACAGGGGAAAAACTTTGGCTGTTTTCCATGATTGTGGAAATTGACACGAAGTAATACAATGATTGAAAAGCTTTGACAACGACGATGAAATAATTGGGGCAGCAGTCTTCAAGATCTTTACACTAATATTGTCTAGACCAGGTGCTTTTGATGAGGGAATATCTTGAATTATTTGAATAACCTGCTCAGCACTTATTTCAGGAATATCTAAACTCAAATTGCCAAAAGATAAAAAATCGTTATCATTTATAACAGTGGTATCATCTAAAAGATTAGAAGCCACATTTGCAAAGTGCAGATTAAACGCTTCAGCAATTTCTTTGTTATGATGGAAAAGAGATCCATTAAATAACAATTCTTTCACTTGAACGGGATCATTTGTATCACCAGAAAGAGATTTGAGTATTTTCCAAAGCTTCTTAGGATTTTTACGATTTTCAATAAGATATGACTTGAAATAGACTTGTTTGGCTTTAAATACTGAATGATTTATTTTATTTCTAATTTTTCTAATTGACTCCCAGTCTTCATGGGAACGAGAGGATTTCGCTTTTTTGAGAAGCATATCTCTTTTTCTCATCATTGAAGATATATCCTTAGTAAGCCATTTAGGCTTATTCACCTTTTTAATGCGCTTAGAAATTAATGGGGCATGTTGATCAAGTATACTATTGAAGAGAGAGTACCACGAAATTACAATATCCTCAATATCATCGAAGATAAATGATGTATTCCAAGGCACATTTTGCAAAGAACTCCGAAATTTTTCTTCATCAAAGTTTTTCATATCGCGATAAGTCATAACAGTATGCGTTTGCATAAATTTCCCACAAAAATGTTTTTTTTTAAAACGACGCAAGCAACATACAGGTAAATGATCAGAAATAAAGATATCAGCAGTCGAGCAATGAGATAAAAATTTGGGTCTATTTGACCAAATATGATCGAGTACTTTACCACTGATTGGACGTGTAGCATCGATAATATGTTGTTGAAAAGATAAGGATAACAAATGTTTAACCAAGCGATGATGCTTGAAATAAGTGTCAAGATAATCGATATTAAAGTCCCCAAGGATTAACGTTTCTTTACCTTGCATGGAAGCATTTTCGATATTCATACCCAATTGAACATCGTAATTTTTGTCGGAGTTTGGTGGGCGATAACTGCCACCTATAATGAGACTTCTCTTCGACTTAAATGGGCACAATTCCAACCATAAAACTTCCAACTCGATTGTTTCCAAGTCATGTCTTCTTTTAGCAATTAAATCACGATTAACATATATTGCAATACCACCACCATTTAAAGTTTTCGAAGTACTATTCCGATTTCTTATATATAAGTCAAAGCCAGGTATATTAAACAACTCAGTAGAGGTTTGCGAATTCCAAAACGTTTCATTTATAATCAAAATATCCAGACGTACCTCGTTATAGTCATGGCCAAGGATTTCAATTTGCACTTGTTCAAACTTTGTTTCATTCAGACGGTTTACATTCCATTGGCCTATTCGAAGGCCACGACTTGGTAGACTAAAACAACTATTTCCTTGCGGGGAAGACACAAGATTTTGTGCAGGAACCGGACCTGGATTTAGATGAATGTCGCCATCCAATGCCAGTAATAAATAGCGATGAAGCAAAGATAATATTACAGACGTCATTGCTTGTTTAGACATCACCACAATTGCACAGCCAAATTGAAAGTTACTTGATTTACTTGATTTGTTCGGCGTAAGCAACGACACATTATTCTTCATATTTATAAAACAGGTTTGAGAATGCGATTTTGCCACATAAAAATAGTTTAAATTACAATAGTTTAAATTACAACTTCAAAGACGCGAACAAACAGGACTACGTTGCTGATCTAGAATATGCTTCAAAATACAACAACTTAACGATGCAAACGACAGAAGACAGTCGTCCCAAAATCATCACTATTAACCTCTGCCACAAACCACCAGTTACACTAAACAACGAAGAACTAAGAGCACTTAAAAACCTATAAAACGACGGCCAAATAATAATATTACGAGCTAACAACACCGCAAAACATTTATCATGGACAAATCAGAATACACCGACAGAGCCAAAACCCTCCTACAAGACACCACTACCTACGAACAATTCTGATTATGTTCAATGACCTTCTTAAAACCAACTATTCACCCTCTTGCTTTAAAATCATCGACACTGCATACACCTCATTCTCCTTTAAAATCGAAGAAGCACTCCACATTAACAAAACTAACCCTGACCTCAATGTTCAAGTTTTTAAGTTCAAGTTTATTTTGTTTGTAACACGCTCTCCATTAATTCATCTCATTTCGTTATTATTGTTAATTTATGTATCATATTACTTTTATATAAACTTGTATTATTTATGTAATTACTCATTTATACAGAAGATGGCATCATGAGATGTCAAAACATGTCTATTTTCAAAAAATTTGTGGTCTACAATAAATGCGCATTAGAAATAGTGCTTCTATGAAATTGTAGCAACATACTAATTAGTTATTGCGAAGAAGTGTTTTAGATATTGTATAACTATGGGCCCTCCCGGCTATCATCATAGTAAAATGGTGACTCCTGCACTTAGGACACAGGATGTACGGTTGCACAAAATTTTTTGTATTTTCCCTACATCGAGCAAACATGACTGTTTATTAGTTGATAAGTTGTAAAATGTGGCAAAATATGACTTACATCCGACAATATAAGGTATAGCAATTACAATAAGGAAATAAAAATATTGAAAAATATTTTTACAATTCAATCAGTCAACTGTTGAATTTCTATTTGTTAGCACACTCTCAGAATCAGCACAACAACTTCTTTCATTGAATACACTTCCTCCTTCTTAAATATCTGTTGAAAATCTCTAAAGTGGCTATAACACATGTGTGTCTAGTGATTCTTGTTGAAAACGTAGTTAAACAAAAAAGGAAGTCAATGACAGCATTAAGAAAGAAATACTTAAACAATACTCTTTCACTTTCTACCTTAAAGAATACCGTGCACAAATTATGTCAACAATCATGGTGATAGTCGGCATTTTATGTAGCAACTTACCGTTTTGTTTCACTTTTATATTGACATTAAGTCAATTTTAATATTTTTATAAAATTATATAAATTTTCGAATACGTGATTCGTGATATAAGTTTAGCTACTTCTTTTCAACTATGCCTTTTCAGTTAATCCTTTAACTATATCTTAACAGCTTGTGGATATAACTTCGACTTTTCTTCTTAAGAATGAACTGAATAAGAAAAACATAGTACAGCATTTATTTCGAGAGTTTTATCAAACTTTTCTTCGTTTTCAATTGTACGTAGATATCTTACAGCCACAATCATTTGAAGAATTTATCTTGTTGTAAAGAGTATGGGAAGTCAAGGGCTGGTTTTCATACAACATAATTCCTTTGTAAATGATTGTCGTAATTTAATTGTATTTAATTCTTATTCACAATCAAATATACGTAAGTAAGAAATCTTAATTTTCATATTTTTTGTTTTTCATGGCAACTACGACAGTCACAAATATTTAGGTAAAATGCAACAGCATTTCAGTGACTGGGCTTCGATAACAGTAATTGTCAGCAAATTATGACAAATGTTAAGTAAAATTATAACAACTTCGTCATTTAAAAAGTGTGAATTCTTGTCTCTCTAACGGGTAAGAAGTATGGGAAGTTAATTTGTCACAAACGACTTTAAATTTACTGTACATTTATCATGACCTACAACTTCCATATATAATTGTTTTGAGCCAATCAGCCTTAAAAGGAAGAAGTACCGTCTTTGAAGTTTCATTATCCAAGAATAAAGAAAATAGGACAGCATATACAAAAACATTTTTTCCCAGACAAGCACTTTCGCTTAGTAGATGCAAATACCATTATATTTTCTAACTCTGCTTGCAAATGCCATGTCTGGTGAGGACTTAGGCTTTCCAGCTCATCATTCAAAATATAAAAGCTTGACAGATTCTGACGAAAACTTCAAAATTACTAAGGCTTTTTCATATTTTACAATGTTATTTTTTAACCATGAAGTTATTGGTCATGGTTTGTAATACACGAAGATGGCGAATGAATATTCTAAAATTCATTGTAGTCTGTTACTACATTGTGACTTGTTATTTGTATGATTTCAACCCATGTCAGGCGATAAACTCACATGCGAAAATTCTTGAAAAGAAATGCAATCATGAAAAATATCTGTTGTTAATTGTAACATTTTAGTAAAATATTTAAGCATTATAAACAATTTTTGAATTAGGAAAGCTTTGAAGAACCTTCCAATATTAACGTGCATGCAAGCAATTTTTGTTCGAAACTCGTTTTTTGTCGAAGGAAAATAAAGGTAAAAGATGTAAAGGTTGTTGATAAAATTCCTCTGGGATTTGATCACAAATAGTAGAAATGCTTATTGCAATCAGAGCAACTGAAAATCACTGGTTTTGAATATTTGAAGTTTTCCCACCTAACCACGCCACGCTTTTATGAATAGTTGCTTCCCGTCATTGTCTTGGCTATATTGTTTTCTTTGTTCCAGCCAACAACGAGCACGTGGTGTTAACGGTCGATACTTATTATAGAACTGACGCATCGTTCTAACGCTGTTCAATTTATTGTTACTAGAATATTTCAAAAGATAGACTATGTACAAAATTATTAGTTATATACGTTCTATTCACACTCAGCCAATATGGAAGATTTTAAAGATACAAGGTACTGTATAGATTACTCAAACTCTGTTTAACCAAAAAGCCATTAATGTGAAGGATGTCATACAATGTACTAAAAAATTGTATGAAAATTTGTTATTGTGCGTCATTATTGAGATTAGCATATCGTGTTTCCAAACTATACTTTATACATGATGTTGCTAAAATTGATTGAAATTACAGTGAATTAGGTTCTCCGTAATTGGGTATCACAATCGAATCAATTTTAAGGTATAACTCTTTTCACTTATTTACAAACAGATGACTGACACAATTGTGTCACAGAAACAGTACATACATATATTAAAAATCATTGAAACAATATTTATGTATAGTAGATATTACTAATCAGCTGTTGCTGAACCATGATGGAGAAAGGAAGCACTTCTCCACACCACGCCGTAGTAATTTTACGCGCGCTAAAAATTTTTTAATTAAATTATTTACTCTTCATTAAGAGAAAGAGAAAATTTTAGGTTACTTTTTGAATGTTAAATGTGGAAAGTCTTTAATCCATCAACCGATTTGTGATATGTTTCGTGAGCCTCCAAAAAGCAATGTGCCTTCACCACCCCTGCTAATAATGCATTGTGATTAAAAAATATTACCTTCTGGCTTGGCGTTAAGACCTAGGTCTTTTGCAAGGGAAAGTGGATTATACTGCACATAAACGAACCATATAGGTCACGAAGAAACAAAGGATATGAAAATGAATATGCGTATTTTGATTGAAAAAGGAGTGAAGTTGGTAGAAACAAGCGTGATTGTAACATTAAAGCCGAGTCATATACGAAAAAAATTTCACATACAGCTATTTTAAAAAGTTATGTATGATTAGCTACAATTTAAGAAAGTCGAAACTAATTTCAGAAAAACATTTAACACTGCATGGCGAGTAACGATTGTGCAAGCATCTGCCGTTTTTTCAGAAGAATGAAGAGTCGTTGTTTTTCGAGCTCTTTATCAGCTAAAAGTCTCTGCTCCTCTTGCTCTAAGTATTTTACATACTCACATGATTTCTTCAAAATAAGAACTTTCGGGGCTCGATCGTTATCCTGAAGTTCTGGTAGACTGTCTCGCAGTTTTTGAAACTTTTCTTTGAGTTCCTCGCGCCGCTTTCTCTCCAAAACATTATGAGTTGCACGTGTTGTTTCGCTATCCTCTGAATCATCCGTTGGTTCTTCAACTGCCATATTTTCTAGCGCACCACGACTAAGTGCTCGTCGGAATTTCCGAGTGCGCGTCGTTGGGCTGTCGGGCGTACTTGGTCCGCTTGTCAGATCAAACGGGCTTAATAGACTCATTCGTTCAGTCGAATAATTTGAGTCTGAAAAACAGTAATGTATATATCTTTAGAGATGTGTTTGAGCATTAAAGATTGCTCGACAATATTACTTGAAAGTAAAGTGACAGAAAGTGTGACAGATAAAATACTCTGTGTTGTTCATAAATAATACCGTCTTCACAATAGCAATCTGGATAGAATCTAATTCAATTTGAATTAGTTTGTGCATGGTAGATAAGAGTCTGAACAAAATTTTCTTTTCATAGCAGGCAAATTGCATAGCCCGAAGATGATGACTAGTTGAGTCGAGTGTGCGAGTATTTATAACTTAAGCTTGATTCTTGCACAAATCCTTTCAAAAAACTATTTCAATGGACAAAGAACTTTAGGTTATAAAAGCATTATAAAAAGCAGCGGCTAAACACAATTTTGAGAAACTCGAACACAATTTTGAATGCAATTGTGAAATAAGGCTCACAATAAAACTATGTATGTTGCTTCTCAAGCTCACAATTTCTTTGAGAGTATTTTTTGCTTTTATAGTCCAGTCTTTCACAACTGCAAATTGTCTTCTCCTTTGATTTAATAACATTAAGTATCATGCGTGCAAACGATTTCAACAGCCCACTGAATTCCTTTGTGAAGGTTATTGTAGTGACTTCTTTGTTTATTCGAAAACAAACTCAATCAAAACAGACAAGTACAACCCTACCACCAGGTGGTCTTGACTTTGTGCTGGATTGTGGCAAAATCAGTCTTTTACAACAATCTTCAAAATCATGTAGATATGTGTCTGTACATATTGGGGTTTTCTTCGAGAAAAACCTTTCTTCCAGATTTATCTTTCTTAGCTGTTCTTTCATTAACTATGTAACGTCGTCATTCGAATGTGCAAAAAAATGAGAACTTATTCAAATAATACTAATTTCGATCGAAAATGAAACGTTTTACTTCCAGAAACGTGTTTGTCAAAGTACTACTTTCACAATGATAAAGTTGATAACGGCTTCTTATATTCTTTGTCTGGTGTCTTAGTCTTCCCATATATTAAATTTTTACCTACGGATGGCGAATTTCTTTTAAGAGTGGAAAGGGTTTTAATTCCTTGGATCTGTTCATTTGACTTATTTTGAAATTCAGACCGTGAGATATTTCTTGTCATTGGGCCATTGGCAAGTTTACGCTATTCAAATGACGCAAAACCATTATCACCATGACAGTATTTCAATGACCAACTCAAACAAAGATTTGTATAATCCATTCAACGATAAATGAGCAGGTGTCCGCCAGTAATACCTGCTTAATGATTTGAATAATTAAATTGCTACTCTCGATTGATCGAAAGGCACATTTCATTCAACACGATTCTAACTGAAGTAAGAACTCAAATAACGTATGGCACACTTGAAATATAGCATACCAGTATGTTAGACTCATCACCAAAAGCACTGTTAAATTGTACTTTGTTAACGTCGTCTATTTAAAGGTGTAAACATTTTAGGAATCAAGTACTGCCAAAGTTCTAAACAAACTTTTTTCGATTAATCTTTGGGCTTGATACTGTATTTAATTGCATCATTTTGGAAACGTTGAATGTTGTATGTACCGACCAATTAAAATAAAGTGGGTCTTACCTTTGACGAAGAGAATTGCAGATAAATGTATCTTAGTAAAATATTTTGCATATGATAAATCATAAATGCACGCAAGAGCTTTTTTTGTTGTTATCATTAGTGTAGCAGCAAAATGAAACGTCTTACAATGTTATATGACTCTTCGAATTTTTCTGTATCTAATACTTCACTGCGTACGAGCACGCGGCAGAATCAAGATAAAAATTACTCTAGTGGAACGAAAGTTAATTCGCAGCAGATGCCAAATGACGATTCATTTAGTATCTAAACAGTAATTTCCTCAAAATGAGAAAAGCTTATTGAACGAGGCTACTGTTGGTGAAAATAAACCTTTACCATTAGAAATTATTGTAGTTTTGTCCAGCGAAATATTTGTGATGTAACAGTTTGCGCATAATCAAAGTCCTACACTAACGCGTGTTTAATCATTTAAAAGATTTCGAAGCTTTTAGATTAAGACTTAAATATTATCGACGTCTTGATTAAAAACCAAAAGATGCATATACAAACATCTTCATTATCAATAACAAGAAATGATTTTGAGGTTCCAATATCATTCAGGAAGACCCGAAAGGCACGTTAAGTGCTTTTAAGCTTACGCCTTGGTAATTTTGAGCATAACTTAACAAGGTAATTTAAAGTTTCGGTTGCTTTGCACAGTAATCAACGCGTGTATGTCAATGCTTAGTAATCTGATTTTTCCGACACTTAAACGCCAGAATTTTGTCTACTATACTTTAGCAAAAAGTGCGGAGGACTGTTTGAAATTGGCTTTGATTCAAGCGGATGCCGCGTCAATAACGCTAAGCTATTTCGAAAGCAAGAGGCGTAAGCCACACGCGTGCCGAAACTCTGCACTATCGATTACGATTAAAACGAACAGAGTGTAAATTTCCTGTTTTGTACGATATCAAATGGACAATATTTACGTAGAGATTGGAAAAATTTGGAAAATATACTACGGGCAATTAAGTATCTTTGTCATTGATACAAACAGCGAATGCTTCTCCTATGTCTATTACTATTATAACATCAAAAGAACATACGCGCGCGCGTGCAAGCGACAATACCGTTTGTTTTAAAGAAAATTTAATAAACTTGAGGCTAAATATAGATGTATAATTCGTTTTAAGTGTTAATTTGAGCGTCTGACATATCAAATATTATTGTTTGCGTGTTTTGAGAGAAGTTTTCATCGCACGTTTAGAGCGGGTGCAGTTTTGAAACAAAGTGATTGAGATTCAACGACAAGCCAAATTATTATCCTCAGTTAGAAAAACTGGTTAGCACGCGCGAAGTGACTCGTGTCACAGAAATTTTAATGCGTTTTGTATACAAAAGCAGATATCATACCCAGCAGAGTGAGAAGCCATATAGTCATTTGGAGATTTGGTACAGCACATGAAATGACATCAAAAAGCATTTGATAGTTAGCGCCTGTAATTTGGAATATTTTTCAAGACACGCTTAAATACCTTTGCATGAAAGCCATAGTTTAATTATAAATAAACCAAAATTATATACAAGAGCGCTCTCCCTGTTTGCAAGTTCTCTTCAGGGTAAGCATATTTACATCCCGAAAGATTTAAAATAAATTATTGTTTGCGTTTCACAGCAGACTCAGCTGTCTAGTAAAAGCACGCAAGACTTGACACGAAAGAAACCTAGCCACTTGGAGTACGCCTTACGGGCATATGCACCAATTTGGAGCGAAGGGTAAAGTTTGAGTAAGGCGTGCTCTCTGATAGTATAGAATTTTGAAGCACATATTTACCCTTAGAGTAAATCAAAGAGTTACGTAAAAGGTAAATTTGCATTCTAATACCACTGTAGTTTATAGCTGTTATTTACATGCAATTCTATTGTCCGAACCATAAAATTTTTGGGACATGAAATTAACACAGGAATGATATGGTGAGCGAGCGCTAAAGTGCGTTTAAACAAATGCAGATATTTAGAGTATTGAAAATTCAACAGTGTTTGTCATTCGTGTTTTTCTAGCTACAAAATGTAGCGTAACTGAAATGAGCTTAATTCATTGAATTCATTCTGAACAATCGTCAAAGAAATTTTTCTTTACCTGAATTAAAAGTGGAAGGAGTTGGTGCTGTTGAATGTTCTCGCGTGACAAGATGTCCCATCGTGTTGAGTGGTTGAATTGGATTTGCGTTTACGGTAAATATAAACGACTGACTGTAAGCAGGCGATCTCACAATTTGGTCGGAAATGTGAACTGTGCGTATACCGTGTGATATATAGCTGACATCAGACCGACTGTCGTACTGTATCTCACATGCATGAACTTGCCTTTGTGTCGTTGGCTGAGCTGTTGATTCAGGGTTTTGTTGATGTGTTTGCGCTGAATGCATTTGTATCCACATGGAATCATCAAATATGGTGGGCGATGTCAACTTCTGCATTTCGTCGTCACTGATTTCCAAGACTGGCAGTGTGTCATCATTGTCGACCAGTTCATCTGGCAGATCATCTGGTACGACTTGAAAGTTGCTCTGTGCGAGTGTCGGTGTCTGTACAAACTCTGGAAAACCTTGGTAGGACAGCTCTTCTGGTGAACACGGTGGCGTTGGAAGGAGACTCTGTCCATTTTTCCATATGTCTTCCTTCATGCCTCCCTCATAAGTGTTCTCGTAGCTAGACTCGTAGAGCAATGACATTCGAGGTTCAAGCATATGACTTTCCGGGCGTTCGAAAAACATTTTCTAAAAGAAAATGAGGGTGTCAGTGAACTGACGAGCTTAAGAGGCAGTGTAATGATGAGCGTGTGCGTGTTGAATTTATTTAAACACGATAAAAACGCAAAAATGCATAAACAATTTAATCTCTTGATGCGTATATCGGATTTACCATATCGGCCAATCTCTGAGTAAGCTTATGATGGAGTTTGATAAATGGAAGATTAAATATTGAAATTTATAAAAAAGAACGAATCATAAAGTCATTTTCAACCGGCATGAACTTTCTTAATGCATAAAATATTGTTTACTTTACCTCGAAATATTTGTTGTACCTTTTCTCACTTCTCGACTGCCTACAGTCTCGCACGCACAACCTTGTATGACGTTTGGGAGTCAACTAACCACCGTGGGTGATTTGAGAGTGTATTAATTCATTGCTCTTGAATCCAATGACTTATATTTGCATATCTGAAACAAAAGGGCAGCTTTGTCTATTCTTAGCATTTCAAAGACTTTTCTCAATACGTCTTGCATGTTTTTGCAATATGCAAATTTATTTTCTTTCGCATACAATTCGCTGTTACCAAGCACCAGTGATGCTAACTTCAATAGTAGCTAAGTTTTGTTAAATACACCACAACCAAAACATTTTCGATGGCTTCCGGTTTTGATTTACTCCGAAAGCTATTCGTCTGTTAATGACATATATACTGTAAAGGACACTGGGTTTGTCAATTATTGATGTGCTGACACAAAATTCTTACTGAATAGAACACCAGTGATGGCGCCAAAGGTACCATACCTCAACGGGCCATACAAACTTTAATAGCATGTACTTTTTTATTTATTCATTCACATACATGGAATGAAGAGTTTTTGATTTATATATACGTTTATGTGTCATATCTCTCATATTATCAACTGAATGCTGTTTTGTATCGTCTTCTTCGTAATATAAGCATTATGCAGTTTATTCTTTATAATAGCGTTAATGTAATATATGCAAATCGTGGAATAGACTCGTTATGAAACCACTTTGAATTCAAGCGTCGTGTTTGCCCACAAAAGACTTCTTACTTAAATAACATGCCTGAAAATATTATAATGTTATATTTTATACATTAATAACAAGCATTTTTGATATTCAAGTCTGACGTTCAAACGGATTCTTGAAACTTTTATTATGAAACGTACGGCTCCAATTATACGATTAATCAATAATATTTATATTGTTACATATCATGTCTATACTTTACCAAACCGATAAACACAGTTTGCTTCAGGTTTTAAGAAATTTCTTTCTAAAAGAATGCTAAATGGTTATGATTCTTGTACTAATCTTACTAAACTGACTAAAGCATCACAATAAATGATTATGTTAAGTTTGGCACGTGTCACCCGGAATGAGATTTTTAAATATATGGAACGACAGATTTACATGACATACATTCAACACCTGTTTAAATACGAGCTACTTGAATTCATCGTTGTTTGATCGGCGAATACCAGGCAATGTACACATACTTATGGCTGTCACTACTGTTTCAAGATAATTATCTGGTTTGCTCGACTTCATCAATCGTTACGTGGGTAGTTCATTTCATGCTTGTGTGGATAATATACAATTATCTGGAATTAATAGCGATTATTACATGTAGTCTATCTTATCTTTAGAAATTAAATGCAAGCAATGATCAGTTTTGAATAACAAAGTTGGGCATTAAAGATCTTAAATGCAACGCGTGGCGTATTTGCGAATGTTTACAAATTCTTATTGGCAAGAAGTTCACTGGTTAACTCCTATCAAATATTTGACTATGTAATTAGCTTTGCAAAACGGCTTTTACTTGCAAATTATATGAGATGGAAATGTAATCAAACAAATGCCAATTTGCGTGAAAAAGGTATTGTTGCAAGGCTAAAATATTGTTGCAAGGCTTTGCCATAAAAAGCTTGTCAATTTGATCACTTTCACTCACATGAATACATGCAAAGAGTACAAAGGTCAGCCTTAATTTACATGAGCCGATCTTGTGTTCCATATTTATCACTATATCAACTCGTTCCCAATCTTTTATCGTGTTGTCCTATCCTATTGAACGGTCGTTTGAAAATCTGGCATAACCTTCATGTATCTATATGTGATGGTGACACCATTTTCTATAGCAAATTTTTTTCTAGCTAACAAGACCAACTTGTATTGACCACAAATTTATTTTAAAATGCGGGAAAAGGAATTAAAAGATACTGGACGAAACAATTAGCTCTGAATATAACAATTTTCTGACAAATAAGAAGACGCCAATATTATAAAGGAGAAAATAATTTAAAAAACACTAAGAAATATACATCATTGATCTGAAAGAGGTGAATAAATTCTTATTTGCTTTAAAAATCTACGATCCACGTTCTATGTAATGGACGCCAGCAGCTTTTTCACGCGGATATAGTTGAGGCTTTCAGTTGTTTCTGACAAATTCCTCAGTCTCACAAAATACAAAATCAGTCAAAATGTGATCAAAAAAGTTGCAAAAGACTACAAGTAAACAAGATCGTATCTTGTAGAGCTTGTGCAAAGTTTTTATACTTTTTGGAATACTAAACTGAAAGGATATAACGAAACAAACAAAAAATCCGCGTGGAATGTAGTTGCTACGCAGAAGTTGAAGGTTAGTTTGGAAAAATAATAACTCGTATTTGACAATGTACATGTAGTAAACATCTTTAAATTTCTTTAGTTTTATATTTATCTTTAGTCTTAACATAATTTGCGTTTTTAGTTAGTATTTGCCGTGCAAAGTAGAAAAACATTGGAGATACTTACAGAAATGAAAACAGGAACGCCGGAACGTGTTAACTTGGGGGGGGGGGATATTCATATATGCGTGTTTTGCCTTATCATAGACGTTCTGGCGTCCACATTTACCAGAGTGCAGGTTGTTTAGTGTCGTAAGCTAAAACTATCGTAACTCATCAAATGGTGAATATTCCAGCTCATGTAAAAAAAACCCTCAGTTATACCAGTTAAAAAGCAACTTCATGTCGAAGAGCCTATTGATATAAGAACCGAACTAGAGTTAAAGTTTTTAAATTATTTAAAGAGACGGGTAGAAACTCGTTGAAATACATCAAAATCTGAAAATGAAATTTTCGTAGAAGTCTTGTACCATCTCTTGATCGTCTAGATTATAGGTATCAAAGCACATCATAAGTCCAAAGCAAAAATCTAACAGCTTTATTTTGTTCTAAATTGTCATGTCAAGTTATGTAGTGTGTGATGTGTTATATTATAGATTATAAGATTATAACTGATATTATTAAATTGATGGAAAATACGTCGATAGTTAAAAATTGTGGTTTCTGTGGAAATCCTGTACGTAAAACTAAAATACTATAGTCATGTCAAGGGAACACTTTCTCACCGCAATGCATCATTGCGGTAGGATGTAGGTAAAAACAAAACTCTAGAAACGGAATGGCGAAGTTGCAAGTCATGTAAATGCCTAAAACCACTTCCTAATAATTATATACAAATATAAATGCAAGCGTTGGTTCGGGGTTTCGGAAAAGTTGACGTTATTGGTGTATGAATTGGTCATACAAATTTGAGTCATACAAGTTAGCAGTCGTATTGCAGAAGGCAATAAAGTTCTAAAACTCAGTTTAAGGATTGACGGTTGTCCGTATTCTTAACGATATCAATTCAAACATTCCGTATCGCGAAGAACCAACGTTTGGAAATCCGTAACGTAAAAATCGTTCACAACCACTGTAAATATCCTATCGAAGTGTTAAATATAATTGTCAAAATACAGTCCCATCTTTCGAGTGAAGTTTTGAGAACAGTGAGCCAGCACTTCGTACAGATTGTGCGAAACATTTTTCTAGATATAGAGTTTGCAAATAATTAATACAACAACAATAACTAACGGACAATTTTTAGTCGTGATCTTTAAAATACCGTTAAAAACAAGTGTCTTTGTGTTAGTTTTCCTTCTATATACTCTTTATCATCAACTTTACCTTGTTCACAATCATTTTTTTTAAATGACATTGTCACCAATTTATTGTTTGTTGATCATTATTTTGACAATTTCTTGTCTTTACTATTGTTAGATATGCAGTCAACTACATTCCATTACCAAAGTAATTCACCTTCAGGTGAGTTAAAACATTGCTTAAAGCTTTGTCAAATATTTTTGGCAACTCTTGAAAACGTGTTTGTTCTGAAATTACGTATTATACATGCAAATGCTGTCAGATGCAGCTTCTGACTTCCACCCACCATTTTAATGACTTTTAATTGCTGTCAGTGTAGTCATGAAGATAATACCGTGTTGCTATTCCATTGTTTGCATCCTTCATCAACATGCAAAATTATTTTGCATTATTATGCAAAACTACTATTGCTTGTGTAATTTCATTTGCTAACTCAGTTTTTGCAATTGTATGTCTTTGCAGTATGCAAAATCACGATGCAGCAGAATACCAAACTTATTTTGTAGTGTCCCACCAAACTCCGTAAAGTTGAAATTTAAAGTTCTGTTACTTCATCAAAGAAACCGCCACCCGATTATGTCTTCATAACATTAGGCTTCACAGGGAATGCCTGATTGCCAACAACTACTTATAGCTATTTTTATCACATCCCTGGAGAATTGTGTTCTCTGGGAAAAAACGTTGACTTGTTTCATAAGCTCCATATACCAACCATATTGTTTTCAAAGAATTTCTCCATGAGCAATACAACTGTTGTAATTTACCATTCTTTAGGCTTTATTTAACTATAAAAAACAACTTAAATGCTACAAACAATAATATGGCGGATAAACATAAGAGTGAGTACCGCTGGTCATAAAGTACCGCAGATAGTGGCACAGGGATACCAATGCCAACAAGACAATATTAAAACATTCTCCCTCCCTTAAACAGAACTGATGATAACACTTATGAGTTCAAAGTTTAGAGTCTATTCGTCTTCAAAACCATAACGGGTTGGTGGTTTTACGTCACGCACTGAGCGCCTCAGAGGGGCATGTGGCTGTCCCAATTCAGTTAAAATACTCTCCTTCTCAACTGGTTGATGCTCAGCCGGAACATGTGCCTGGTCCTTTCCCTCTGCAATAGGCGGCACGGTGGCAGGGATGGTGTGATTGTGAGCTGGGGGCCATGGTGCCAGATCTCTCAGTGATACCGTTGATTCTCTGCCGTCCAAATATTTAATATGGGCATAAGTAGGGTTAGCTTCCTTCAACTCTACCTGGTCAACAAGTGGGTCATTCTTGCTTGTTCTCATATATCGGCGGAGCAGAACCGGTCCGGGGGACTGTAACCAGGTGAGAAGTGAAGTACCATGTGTCGAACGGCGTTGGAAGCCAAAAACTCTCTCATGTGGAGTTGAGTTGGTGGCAGTGGAGAGGAGAGACCTTGCTGAATGAAGCGCGTCAGG